ATACATATAAGATCCACCTAGATTTCTGTCTGCTCAGCAGTACGTACTGACATCCGTTGACTCAGCCATTCCGCCAACGCCAAGGCATTGAGCTGGAAATCCCACCCTTCGGAACCTTTCGCATGGTTGGAGCCTCAAAGTGCGAAATATCTCTCCCGTTTCGCTGGCTGATCTTGTTGGCAATTAGTCAGGCATGTTTGTTTGGGCTATCTACTTTAGTTTGATGGATGTTAGATGGCCAGAGCCATCCCTCATTAAAGTGGTCAATGTTTCTCCAGCTGTAACCAAAGGGACCCAAGGAAATTGAATCCGAGAAACCATGAACGGATTTAATGAATTGGCCTCTAGCAAAGTAAATCAACATACCAGACATGCAGATCATTTTCCAAACCGGAAGCCACTGGATTTCGCATCCTTCTCAATTAACTGGATGGTAACATCTTTCTATTTTCCTTTCAACGCTGGGATCAGATTTTGCTTTCCTATCTGAATTTGGGGTTTCTATCCATTATATCCTATGATATACCCATGATATATACTGATCAAATCACCATTATTGATGGTTTATATGCCATCAAAATGGGAAATCTAAATCCATCTAAATCCGAATATTTTTCCCATGGCATCCCAGGATTTTCCCATATTTTTCATTAAAATAGAAGTATCCATGATAAACGTTCCCGTGCCCCCAATAGAATCCCCCAACAAAAACGGCAGGATTTACAGCAGCTGACGCAGACCACTGTGCGTGGGCGAAATCCGGGCTACGAGCAACGCGGTTTCCAAAAGGTAGGGGAAGGTGTGGGAAAATGGTGGGAAAATGGGTGGAAATCCATGGAATGATGGGGGTTTCACTACTGTAACTACTGTTAGATAAGTTTTTTTTCTCATGATGGGGTTTCATAGATTTTTCATGATGGGCTTTCACCACTGATAGATCATATAATATCATATATGATCGATGGATTTCGTGCAATTGAACTTGCAATATTCATTGACTCCCCATGATCTCCCCATTTCACGGGACCCCATGAATTGGTGGCGGATGCTCCACTGACACAGCCAGCTGCTTTCTGAACAGGTTTCTTGTACTATCTATATTGAATTGAGGATATATCATCAATCCCATTAAGTCATCATTCCCATTAAAACCCATTAAAACCCATTAAATCCATATATCCCATGGATCTCCACGGATTTATTGACTTTTCATCATGGTGTCGGTGGAAACTGAACCGCAGCTTCCAAGGCGCGAGATCCGTCGTCAGGTTCGAAAGATTGAGCTAGGCCGGGAGCTAGCGTTGCGGTGTCGCTGCTGGGGAAACCCCGCACCGTCGGTGGTTGGGAAATTCCATGAAAATTCCGAACTAGCCATGGAGGTTTATACCTGGGAATACCCAAGAATCCCACTTTCCGATACATCCAAATTGCATATAGCTGGTTCCAAATCCGACACAACATCCCCCTTATCCCATTCAAATCCACTTTTACATGGCTTACTTGCAGTAAACCATCCATATTCCATTCAAAATCATATCTTTTTTTTCTTTGGTTGGGTGGCTTAATCAATAAATCATCCACAAAATCATCAGTTTTTCATGGTCAAATCACCAATTTTCACAAGGTGAGGCCCCCCAGTTGTTGTTTGGGTTTTTGTACGCTCCATTCACTAATATTCAGCATAGTTATATCAAGCAAATTATATTGCCTATAAACCATACAATTCACCAAGTTATACTTAAAGCCAATAACCAACCCGCAAATCACCGTATTAATTGGTGGTACGAGCCCCAAATGATAGTTTTTCATTAGTGGGTTTTCGCATTAGTTATATAATGTTATATATATATATATTTATATACATATACAAATGCATATATCATATATCATATATCATATATCATATATCATATATCATATATCATATTAACTATTAGCTATATAATGTTGTGTATAGTCAATATGATATATGTTTATGTATAACCATAGTTAATATATATATATATATATTAGTTAACTATGGTTAATATCATATTAACTACTATTAGTTATATATATATATACACTTGTCCTTACCAATGGTTCTTGGTGGTGAATAGATCCCATCAACCACGCATTCGGTCGGGTCACTGGAGGTTACTTCCTACTGGGCTACGAAGGGGAGATCTGCTCCTCCGACTCCTTAGTGGATCGCCTCGAGGAGCGATTGATGATTTGAGTTGTTAGATAAATAGAACTATGTATCCGATATGCTCCATGTATGGTATATTTACCTACATTTACCCCCAAAATTGCCCAAATGTAGTTAAATATTCCATACATGGAGCATATGGGTATGTTGTATGTGTACTTGTAGTTATAGTTGGAGTTATAGTGAGGCCCATGGCTTCTTTTTCAGCTTTGTGAGTTGTGGATACATTTGTTGGTATGAGTGATTTGCTCAGGAAAAAACACCGACAAAATCCATGGCGGTCTGAAAATTGTGGAATTGCCTCCATGGCCATGGCCGGGGGAACGACGATTTTCTGACCCCATGCAGACCCCGTTGGTTGTTTTAGCTTTGAAATAGGGCCACGGACCGCACTGGGCCAGGTGTTCATCCCTGAGCCTTCAGAATGAAAGCATTGGCACTGTTCATGGTGCATGTTATAGAAACTACATACCCTCCAGTGATCAAAAGTGTCAATTGAAACTCCACCGAACTTCCCAGCTATAAACCTACATAAAATGTGTGGGGGTTTTCTATTGCTGCGTTTGATGACACCAGGGGGTACTTGATAAAAACTTCGGCGAGGACATTGAAGTCTTGCAGAAACTTGAACGTGTGCCTTGGAGACGAACAGAGTGGTCCAGATTTGCAGTCCAGATTCGGTCGGGATGACAGCCCGAATATCCCAAATCGCAAAATCAAAGTCAAGCAATGTCAAGCACTTGGCCCACCTTGGGTGTTTTTTGGGTTCATCCATTAAATATTTGTTCACCCATCTGTTCACCGCCTCAATGGTTGCGACCTCGCGACAGGTCTTACGGAGAATATCCGAAGAGCCTGAAGACTTCTCGTTCCGCAGCCTCAATTTGGTTGATGACGAGTCGGGGCCTTGGTTCCCTGGGACCCGAAATTCCTGGTGGGGGACGGGGGCCATTTCCCATGACCGAGGTATAGAGACAACCTGGGCTCCAACGATGATGCACAGCAGTTCCTGGAAGAATTGGGTGACCTGGCAGAGCTGATTGCAGTGACGGAGCAGCACAGCTAGACATACATGCGTACATCCAAGTAACACGGTTGAAATGCTTGACCCACGTTGACCCCAAATGGAAAGAACTCTTGGCAAAAAGTGGCCAACTACCATAACTATCCATAACTACCAAAATGGGAAAAAATCGCCATGCACCGCGCCACAGCAGCCCTACAAAGCCCAGGCTTTGAACTGATTGAGGAGGGCCCAGAGCCAGGGTCTTAAAGTTCAGATTGCTGGCTGGTGGTTCAAACATATTGGTGGTTGCAAAGATATTTATTGTATGCATAGTATTACAGTATTTTGTATATAGCTATATATGTGTATACAATAATCATTGGTCAATGAACTAACCAACTTGCTTATTTAATTCATTTCTATTCCTATTCGGGATGATGATACTGCTTTCAAGCAGGTTGAAACCGAGCAGTTTGCCATCACTGTGCCAGGGTTTTGGGCCCCTAATTGCTAGGCGATCCCTTGGGGATGCAGGGCTCATGACGAATATGACCAGCGGGTGACTTCCCGGCCGCCGGGATCGGGGGCAAAAACTGAGGTGCTTCTTGGTCTTCATGCAGGAGCAGGCGGCTCGTCCAAATTTACAAAGCAGACCTACTCCATGTTCTGCTGGTAGTTCGGTGTTGCCAGGTGGAAGGGATCCGAGCGGCACAGAAGGATGTCGAGGCCAGGCTGAAGAAGCTGGGTGTCAAGAGCCTGGATCCAGCAACTCGGCAGCCTCCAACGGATGGGATAGGAATGATGGGAGTTTGAAAAAAAAACAACTTGGCAGGTATGGGGGAAACATTATTTTCCAAGCATGGAAATTCGAATGATGGTAGATGGTGATAGATGATGATAGATGATAGAAAACAGCGACATTTCCTGTAGTCCGATCGCCGATTCACAGCGAGGTTGAGAGCAACGCGGTGGAATCCAATGCGGTGGAATCCAACGAGGTCGTGGAGTCCAACGATGTAAAGACCTCGGAACCCTGCGGTGGTGGGAATACCAACCAATGTCATCTTAGCAGCTAGCTGGAGACAGCTGGAAGTTTTTTCATTTAGTTCGATGATATTTCCAGTAAAAGCTCCATTCCGTTGATTTCGGCTTGCTAGAAACCTCCAGTTATGATGTTATATGGGATTTCCCCTTGCCAAGTCTTGCCATGTTTGATTTCCGGAAGCAAGTTCTTTTCCGGGTGCGAATGATCCGATGCCTTTGCCCAAAAATGAGGTACTCGTAATTTAATTCTCATCTTCTCATCAAACGACGGCCACAACTTCGGGGTGTATATACATATGCGTACATACGTGCATAACATATGTATATATATATATATATAACTAGTATATATGTGTATATAACTATATATGTACATAACTATATATATATATAACTATATATATAACTATACGTGTATAAATATATATTAATATATGTAACATATACAACGATATCTATAAATATATATAGCTATAAACTTTTGCAATCGAATTGGGGTCTCAGGATCTAGATCATGGGTCATAGATCATCCAAATTTAAGTTTGATTTAATGGGTAATTCCCTTTCACTCCTTCATGCTCTTGGTAAGTTTCCTGAATTAAAAAGAAACTATTTGCCAGCAATTGCTTTCACAAATTCCAAGGGTTTTACCCTTATTATTTCAATATAAAATTTACTACACTTTTACTATTGACCTTGAATGGCGAACTGGATTGAAATGGTGGTCTTGGACTTCAACAATAAAAGATGCCATGTGTTTGAGGCTTGCATTCGGTTGATACAAAATGATTGTGAATCATATATGTAAAATTTTTAGTAGATACTTTGGTCCTGATTAGGGTGTCTCTTCAGGCAGCAAATTGTGCTTGACCTTGGTTGAATATAATTTTAAAGAAAGGCGCTTATCAGGGAACTTCTTCGCATAGCGCATTTTCATTGATGTTTGTAATGGGGCGACGCAACAGACTGGACATGATTGGACAATTGACTTCTTAGGGAAGGAATTTGATTCTTATTAGTATTCTTAGGAACCTCTTCGGCGAGCACATGTTGATTTACCTTCGTATGCCGATACTGTTGATCAACTTTGCCTGGTTTTGGTCCAAGTGCTGCTTTCAGATTCCAGGTCCAGGTGTGCGCGGACATCTCCTGTATAACACATGTCGCACTTACACGATAATTGCAATTATTTTTTGGCCTAGTTTTAGCATGCTTTAACATGTTTTTGCCTATTTGGGTGGATTTGAGCATTTATCAGGGGGGGCGAAGGGAATACTTATGGAGCTTTTAAAAAGCATGGGGCCAGACCATAGTAATGGGTGGTTATATTGCCCATCACCAAGTCTACACGATTTTCCAAGGGTTACCCAGGCAAGTTCCTCCCGATCACATGTGCCACTCATGGCCAATAAGTAGGGTAGGGTCTAGGGCTCAGAACTTTGCATTGAAGTCTCAGATTAGTTTGCCACACAAATCTCTGCGGACTTTGTGAACCTTTTTTCCGTTGCGGCCGATTATGGGGCATGAGAGGGCATGAGATCTGCTGAAAAAAAAATCGGCGGAAAATTGAGATCCTGTGCCCCCGAATCGGTTGCATTTTTTTTTTACGGACTTTGTTTTTTTGTTTTTCGGCGGAACTCCACTACACAAATTGTGTACCTGACTTCTGCTGATTACTTTTTCGGCGGAACTTAGTATTCAGACCTATGGTTCGGCGGAACTCAACATCACAAAATGTGTACTTCTGCTGATTCAATGGTTTTCCCTAGGATTTCTGCTGAATTTTTTTCGGCGGAACTCAACATCACAAAATGTGCGCCTGAGTTCTGCTGATCTGGGATTTTTTTCGGCGGAAAACCATAAATCTGGTGATGCATGACTACCCATGATTCCCTACTGCTGCATGTTTATTTCCCAATGTTAAATTTAACCTGTACTAGCCGCAATGGCAAATGATCTAGGATCCTGACTTTGAGGACCTTGGGGTTTTAAAATCGGTCTACCTAAGCATGAAAATGGATTAACGCTTCTTGCTCGCGTAGGCATTTGGAATGTGAACAGTGCATGCTGGGTACATGAACATGTTTGCAGAACAGAACATACATAGCTATGTTCAAGATAAATCACAGAGATATATTTATATATGTGGAACATAAAGCAAGTCGCTGTATGTTTATGTTTGGGCTTATTGTAGCGAATTATCTATATGACTATACCTGGTTATAATTATGCATGGGTTTCATTCCAAATCCTTTAGTTAATACATAGAAATTTTATATCTTTTGGTAATGGTTTTTGCCATTTTCAAGTTTCCCACCACATATTTCAAACTGAGTCCTGGCTAATGTGATTATCGACCCCAGCTGGTAACATGGTGAAATAATGAAAGAGACCATGTGTTTGAGGCTTTAAATTAGGTTGCTACAAAATGAATGTGAAACTATATGTTTTTTTTTGGTATACAGGTACTTTGGTCCTGATTAGGGAATCCCTTCGGCAGCAGCAAATTGTGCTTGACCTTGGTTGGATATAAACCAAAAAAATGCGCTTATCAGGGAACTTCTTCGCCAAGCGCATTTTAGTTGATGTTTGTATTGGGGCGACGCTACGGATTGGACATGATTGGGCAGTTGACTTCTTAGTGAGGGAATTTGATTCTTGTTGGTATTATTAGGAACCTCTTCGGCGCGCATATGTTGATTTACGTTCGTATGTCGATATTGTTGATTAACTTTGCATGGTTTTGGTCCAAGTGCTGCTTTCAGATTCCAGGTCCGGGTGTGCGCAGGCCTCTCCTGTATAACAATTGTCGCACTTGTACTATCTTGTACTAATTAATAACATACAATTTTACTTCCCAGGGAATTCTAACTATGGGGAGCACTAGGATATGAAGAAATACATGGTTCAATTCAGACCTAAAAGTATGTCCCCAAATCAACGTCAGCTGCCCCATAATCGACTGCAACAGTTTCTATATATAAATATATATATATACATGACTATCTATCTATCTATCTATCTGTCTATCTATCTATCTATCTATCTATCTATACAACTATCTATATATATAACTATATAAATAAATAACTATATATAGGTATTTCGGAAAAATAAGAAAACCTCGGTTTTTGATTGAAGACCTCGGGTATTGATTTTGAACCCGTACTTAACCCGTACCTAACCCGTACTTTCAGAATGGGTTGAAATAGCCCGAGTTGTGTCAGACAAACTCGGGTATTTTTCAAACCCTAAGATTTCTGCGGGATTTGTTTCTCAAGGTATATATATATATATTATAAACCCCCTTATCTCCTCTTGTATCGAAATTAAATCCCATTCACTCACCATTCTTGATGATTTTCACAAAGGAAATCACCACTTTTTGGACAAGCCGAAGGATTAGCAGAGCCCGGTGATGAGGTCTCGAACGAGCCCAAAGCGACGCCCAATGGACATGGCCATGGTGGTCCCATGCAGCAGGCCGTGCACCATATAGGATTTCATGGAAATTAATAGGATAATATACGATATATCATATCACCTACTTGATATGATATAGTTATATATATATATACATACACACCATATATATATATATATACATAATTACATATATATATATATGTGTATATGTATATGCAATTAATATATGTTAATGTGTTGCACCAGAGATATTGCTCAACCTTCAGACTCACCCTGTTGAAAGCACAGGCCCAATTTTCATATGACCTGCTGACAGGTTGCGAGCCCGCTGACAACCTCGCAGGGTTCAGGTCACTTGTCGGGCATGGGATGTTCAGCCAATTTGTTGAAACCACCAGTGATGTCGGAGATTTTCGAAGACATTGAAGCTGTCAAACAAACTGCTCCAGCTGAAGGAACGGTGGATTTCGGCAAAAAACGGTTTCATCGAAATGAGATCATGGAGCCAAGGCGACGCTCCAGCAACTTGTGAGATTTCCCTGGTCTTGACCTCGGTCTTGTGATTGAAACATAGACATTTCACCCATTTCAGCTGAGCCATTCTCAAGGTCCTACCCTCTGGCGAGACTCGCAAGATGAACTTGTGCGGAACCCAAAACTCCCAGTTTTTGGATGTTTTTGGGTCTGTGGTCTTTGGGTCCCAAAAAACCGTTTTAACAGAGAAAATGATGATCCAGGATTGGCTCAGGTTTTTCCAGCATGTCCCGATGACTTTTCAGCTTACCAATGGGGTGGATCCCATGGAATTTCCCATACCGGTTACCCAAAGAATTTCAAGCAACTCCCAAGGGGTTGGGTTTCCAAACTTTTACTTCACATTTTTTCCCAGCAAATCTTCATTGTTTTCTACCAAAATTAAGATGTGTTCCACTAAACATCACATGTTTTTCTCCCAACGCATCATCATTTTCCATCATTTTCCTACAAACATCATTTCCCATCCAGAAAAACACACCATATATATATATATATATATTTCCAATTTTCCAGCGGAAATGGTATGTTTTTTCCCCCTAGCCCAATCCTATTTTTGGCCGGGCCGTTCCGAGGCCCGGTGAAGCGACACTCGAAGACCTGCTGATGGAAGTCAAGGCCATGATCCCGGAGCTCCGCTTGCCGTGCCTCAAGAGTGGTGAGGCCTGGCTGGGAAAAGACGATGGAAAAATCAATGGAAATAGATGGGTAACTATAACGTAACTGGAACTGTATATATATATATATATATGTATATGTATATGTATATGTATATGTATATGTATATGTATATGTATATATATGTATATGTATATGTATATGTATATATATATGTATATGTATATGTATATGTATATGTATATATATATATGTATATGTATATGTATATGTATATATATATATATATATGAGAGGCCAGCGCTCTCAGCGCCCGCAAATCTCGTAAAAAATGCTATGTTTTGAGCATTTTCTGACATGAGTGTCCAAGTCTGTAAGCAATATGTACTGTTGCCTTTTCCAGCAGTTTTAAGACATGTTCTCATTGCTGCAGGTTGTCTATCAACGGTTCTATGTCATTTAGCCAGTGAATATCAGAAAGAAAATTCAATTTTGCCCTGTTGCGCCATGCTCAAATGATAGGGGTGTGTTTGCTTCTATGTTGCAGGTTTTTATAGCAAGCATGAACAAGAGGAAACAGCACTTTTGATTGACAGAAGATTTCATTTTGTCCCCAAGCAGCATTGCATCTTCCTGACAGAGCTCCCTACAGAAAGAGATATGGAATGTTTTGCAAGGGTAAGCATATTGTTCCTTTGAAAAATATTGTGTTATTAAACCCTAGTACAGCATCAACTCAGATTCTAAGGGCCACAGCATGCTTCTCATAAGTCATCGTTGAAAATTTGAAAGAATGTGGCATTTCTTGAGGAAGTTGTGGCATGCCTCTATGCAACATTCTTCTATAGAGTATAGAGGGAACAACATTCCTTTGAGAAAGTGTAAAGCAAGACCCTGAGATGTGCATAGCATTCCTTTAGAACAAGTGCGTTCTGTCTTCCATATATTTTAATGAACATATGATAGTAATTCCTTCCATAGAGGTAGTAGTCCTTTTAGAGAAGGGTAGCATTTCCTTAAGATAAAATATGCATATACATTAGTGTTTTTCAGAAAAGCGGCATTGCTATCAGACAATACTTGATGGTTTCATGAAATCTTGATTTTAAACAACGGTATTATGCCATATTACTTCGAAAAAATATTATTCATTTGGAAAATATAATATGATTTTCAAATAA